AGTCTCTCTTTTGGCTGCGGTCTTGCATGAGCTTGTTTCTGGGGGGCTCCTGGGTCACCCGGCGGTTGCTCAGGAGTCTGTGCGGAAGCCTGAACTTTGCGATGATGGTCTACCTGCCGGGTCGGGTTTGGCTTCGTCGGCTGTTCTGGTTCCTTCAGGGATGTTCCTTCCGCCTCTCTCATGATCGCTAGGTTCGTCCCCCTGGGGCCTTACGTCGGCTGCTGCATCGCCAGCTTCCTCTTCGGGTTTTTAACACTTTCGCTCACCCCGCGCGCCACCCCTCGACAGGGCGATATGGGCCCCAGCGTGTCATGGAAGCGCGCGTTAATTCCGAAAAGTGTATACTCTCTTCAACTTTGTCACCTCAATTCTCCCTCTACGAGATAAAATTTGGTATCATTGTGTTCGCAATAAAATTCTCTACAGCACTAAATGCATATAAACTCCAAAAGCCCGGCTAATTACCCGCAGCAAACAGAGAAAGTGCGAACGAGTTACCCGGGAGCGCGCAAACGGGATAAAATGTTTTCACTATTTTCATTCTGGTCACCTCAATTTTTGTCCTAGGTCTTTCATTTTGGTCTCAATGGGTTCGTAATAAAATTCTCTAGAGGAACATTAGCATATAAAAAAAAAAACCTGGTCACGCTCCAACCGCCGACGAGTTGAAGACGGGCCACGCGTTAGCCGTGAGTGAGTGCTCAGAGGCCTTCTTGCTACACTCCAAATTCCCACCCTTTTCAAGCCTTTCTTTCGCAATTTTCTTCCTGGAAGGGCCTTGTTCATGATTACTATCCATCGTGGAGTAAGCGTAGATAGTTTCTAAAGCCGCAGTAAGAAATATAGCCACGGGAAATAGCCGAAATGTTCACACGTTTGAGATGCGAGGGGAGGCGACATTGGTCACAACAGTGGAGCAAAGACAATGGGCCCACGGGGTGTGCCAAGCCGCCTGAGGGCCACGAGGCTCAACAAAGAAAATGGGAAGACATCGGCGCACATTTTAAAACCAGTCCCCAAAAAATCAGATAAAAACCTGATTTTTGGCGAATTTTTAAAGTGGATGACGCAATGCTGCGTCATCCCCGGCATTACCGCCAGTAAACGGATGACGCAATGCTGCGTCATCCCCGAGCGAAAGTGTTAAGGGTTCAGTGCCTTGGCGCCTACCCGAGCCCTCGCTCGATGAGTTTACGGACACGTCGTTTCTCAACAGGGGCATTGTGACCAGTGCTTACCATGCCGGCCAGGGGCAGTGGGGTCCTTCCTTCCGTCGGCCCCACAGTACGGTCCGGGAGTTTGCAGCGATGTGGTTTGCGCTTCAGAGGGTTCGGGTTGCCCGCCGATCGATGATCCAACTCCATTTGGACTGCTCCAGGGTTCATTGCCTGAACCAAGGGGGCTCGATGTAGTCCTTGACTTTTTGGGTCTGGTCGTTTCGGGTGATTTGTCTGCTGAGTTCTCAGGGTTTGGCTCTCCTGGCAGTTCATGTCCGGAGGGTGTGCAACGTGTCTGGCGGACGGCCCTGTCTCGATTCATTCCCAGGTCCATGGATTGGACAGTCGATGCAGACTGATTCAGTTGGCTCTGCCAGACATTCTGGCGCCTGGAGGTGGATCTCTTCGTGTCGGCGTGGTCGAGGCATCTTCCGGCATATGTTGCGCCCTTCCCCGACCGCGAGGCTGTCGGGATCGACACCTTCCGGAAGGACTGGTCAAGGTGGGGGTTCGTGTACTTCTTTCTCCCAGTTCAGCTGTTGCTCCAGGTCCTGGCTCGCTAGGAGACTTACCAAGGGCAAGTAATGCTCTTGGCCCCGTGGTGGCCAGCCCAGCTGTGGTTTCAGGCGCTGCCTGCTCGGTGTCCGAACCCGGTGGTTTTTCCGCGGCTCCGCCTCTTTCAAAAGATCGGCTCGGTCCATTACGAGATTGGTTGCTCTTCTCCTCGAGTCTTCGCCTTTGGTATTTTTGACTTGAGTTTATCACCATCTGTATGGTGATCAGGTGGCTTCATTAATGGCGTACCACCTGTGTGCTTCGTCTCGGCGGCAGTATGAAGTTTCCTGGCGGTCCTTCCGTTTATTTTTTACTCTGTCATTGTACTTCAATTTCGGTTCGGGTTATGTTGTATTTTCTTTTGTGGTTGTTCCAGAACCATCATTTTATGCCAAATACTGTCACCTTGTATTGTGCGGCGCTGGAGCTTCACCTTGTTTTCGGTATAGATGCTACTTCTGCATCATTTCACAAGCTGTCTCATTCCTTTTTTCACCTCCAGCCTGCTCATGCGCCGACTGAGCTGTCCTGGTCTTTGGACAGAGCGCTCTCCTATCTCTCTTCTCCTCGGTTTGTTGTGGCCCCTTCGGTTCAGGATTGTTTCTCAGACTTTTCTTCTTGGCATTGGCCTTTAAGGGTTGGGTTGTGGAGCTTCATGCTATTCTCCGGCACAGGGGTTTCTGCTCTTTAGGTCATGATGATAGGTTTGTTCGTCTACAGCTGTCTCCTTTTCTGGCGAAGAATGAGACTGCAGCTTTCCGGAGGGGTCCTTGGGTTGTTAATGCTTGATTGGTCAGGCCGGGGGTGCATCATGTGTTGTGTCCGGTTACGGCCCTCCACCATTATTTGCGCACCACGGCTTCTGTGTTTGGAGACGCACTTTGGGTTGATCCAGTTTCCCTTCTTCCCTGTTCGCGGGTACGGGTCTCTCGGGTCGTCCACAGAGTTATTAACACTATCAGTCACCGGACAGGCGCGCGGTCAACTTAGGGGTCATGCACCCGACGTACGGGCAAGCGTGTGGGCAAGCACGCGGCGACATCTAAATGTGAATACTCGTTTCAGCTTTCTCACCTTAATTCTTGTGCTATGTCGCTCGTTTTGGTATCATTGTGTTCACAATTAAATTCCCTACAGGCGTGTATAAATATAATGTCCACAAGCCTGGCGTGACTCCCAACAGCAAAGCCTAAAGTCGGCAAAAGTTACCCGTGAGCGCACAAAATCAGTAAAATGTGCATACTCGTTCCATTTTTCTCACCTTAATTCTCGTGCTACGTTGCTCGTTTTGGTATCATTGTGTTCGCAATTAAATTCCCTACAGATGTGTATGAATATAATGTACAAAAGTTTGGAGTGCCTCCCAGCAAAAAAGCCTAAAGTTACCCGTGAACGAGCACCAATTTGTACAGTGCAACCTAATGTGTATACTCGTTCAGTTTGATAACATCAATTTTCCTGTTACGTCTTTCATTTTGGTATCAAATTGTTCGCAATAAAATGGTGTGTATTTTAAAACTAGTCCCATAATAATAGAGCAATAACTGGACTTTTAACAAATAATTTAATTCTGGAAGCTCATCATCACAAAATTATTTATATCTTTCCAGTGTTCGGACATCAAGTTTCATGTTACATCTTTCATTTTGGTATCAAATTGTGCGCATTCTAAAGGCGCTTATTTCAATACTATCCCGAGGTCGATTGGATAAAAAATGAATTTTATACAAATATTTTTTGTAGTAGACGCAAGTCCAGTCCAAAGTTAGGACTCAGGAGAAAAATAATGGACACGAGTCCAGTCCAAAGTTACCGATAGTGTTAAGTCTAGCCAGTCTGCGGTCTATTCCTGTGCCCATGGCATTCATAAGTTTGCTGCTCTTGCTACCATCTTTGGTAATATGTCCTGGGCTGACATTCGGGTACGGGGCTTTTGGCGGTCAAACAGGGTCCTGGTTGTACGCTACCTCGTTAACGTTCCTGGGCCTAGTCGGCTCTGAGTCATTTTGGGTCAGTGGTTGCAGTCAGTTGTCTCGACTTCGAGTTGAGATGTGAGCAGCGACCGCCTCCCGGGTAAGTCCCCTTTCTTTCCTTTTCGTCTTTGGTGAAGTAGCACAGGGGAGCCGAAGGGGCTCCCCCCAGAAAACCTGTGTTGTATGTAATGAAACGCCATTTTCTGGGTTGAGTCCCGGAGGCTCCCTGGCAACCCTCCCTCCCTCCGGTTGGCAGTTTTCGCGGTTTTTGACATCCAGCCTCAGAACTGGGAAGTGGATCACTGGGGCGGGGGTCTGGGGCTCCCCCATTCCCCTCCTGGGGAGGGGGGGGGAGCTGCGCAGACATGCGGCGCAGCTCATGTGAAGTCATGCTTGTTTGCTCGTTTTCCCTTGGGGAGTTCTGTCCACTCGTTTGTCTATTTTCGTCCCTTTTAACCAGAATAGGGGTTTGTTTTAAAAGGGGTGCTTACCTTTCTGGGTGCCTGTCCCAGTCGATGGCAGATATAGAATGCTCCAAAATCACATGTGCATTTCTATAGGCCATTGCTCCTCGTACCTCTCTGAAGGAGCCAGGTTCTGGCTCGTGGTACCCAGTAGGCCTAGAACTCCACCCACATCGACTGGTGCCAAACTTAGGAATAATCATATCAGCCTGGTTAGTTCCGGGGAGCCTCCGGGACACACCCAGAAAATGGCGTTTCATTACATTCAATGCTGGTTTTATTGAGGATAAGTTCCAGTTTCTGTGCTATGACAAAAACGAAAATATAAAAACAAAAAACCCCATACAAAATGCATTCAAATCACACTAGAAAAAAAGAAAAATGTTAAAGATATGGGGCCCACAGGCTGTGAGCATTTGTGTCCAACAGTCTGGTTAACCAGACCACCAACCAGGAGGCCTAGTCAGAGTCTGGGCCATGGGGACACTTATATCAAGAATAAGTAGAAGCAAGAACAGGTAGAAGACAATACAAAAGGTCACCTTGAAGAAAATACAAAAGGTCACCCTTTTCTTTATATTAACCTTTGTTTAACTCCACACATCAAATATCACGTGGCTTCCTCCTCCCATGTTGACTCACATGGCTCCTACTTTGTTACTATGATATTTACATCACTATCCTCATAGGTTATGATATAACAGTAAATTCTATATTCAAATAATGTTCCTATCATACCAAGTATTCTGCACTTATCACATATACATCTTGTGTAAATGAGAAATACTTACTGTGTTTTTGGGTTTTTCTTTAGCTAATGGCTTTCTTCCCAAGAGTTTTGGTTTTGAGCTTGCATGAATGGCTTTACTTTCAGTCAATGGTTCAGCATAAGGGGGAGAATGAACTGTAGAAGTAACAGCAGCAGCAGATGAAAGGGCTGCTTCCTGTGGTGGCTGACTCCCTGTAGATCCAGTTTGACTTTGTGAGCTCTTAATGTCTAAAGCATTTGTGGGTGCGGATGCATCTGTGCCACCATCACTAACAGCCCCAGAGACATCAGTGGTAGAAATAGCAGACCTAAAAATGCTTGGAATTTGCGGTGACTGACTTTTACGATCCATGTGAACTTCAACCTTCTCGTTACCAATACAAATAGTTGATGTTTGTGATTCTTTAAGATTGACAAGCTCTATTGTCCGTGACAGAGAGTTGTCCAAATCGGCACTGGCATCCTTGCTTTCAGACGTAGCTTCCTGGGAATGACTCACTTCTGTTATTACTTTCTCTTTTAAAATTTTTTCTTCTTTTGCATTTTGTACATTTCTATTGCTAATGTCTTGTGCATAACTGGTTTCCTTACCCTTCTCAGAGGAAGCTATATGCTGAATTTCTTTTTCTATTGTATCTAGTACAGAATTTGAGAGTTTTGCTGTATCTTTCCTGACAGCTATATCCTCCACACCCTCTAAAGGTATAGATTGCTCTACTTCATTGAATATTTTAATATCATGACCAAAGGCAATACCTTGAATTTCAGACAATTTATCATCAAGAGCCTGAAGATGCTCTTCAGTAATTTCTCTCTCTTCAATTTCTTTTACATCAAGAAGAGGTTCAAACTGTTCTATTCTTTTATTAACGTCATCTTGTGAACCTTTGAAGGTTTCTACAATACTGCTTGTAACTTCCTGAACACCACTAAGAGCACTTGTGATTTTGTTGCCAATACTTGGCTTCACTCCAGCCACTGTTGGGTCAGTGTATCCATCCACAGCTTCTTGCATCATAATTTCTTCAATACTTAATTCTTGAACATTTGGGTCATACAGTGGATCATATCCCTCAGTCTTTTCAGAAATTCCTGGAAGAAAAAGAGTGGATATAATATTAGTTACATGAACATGTCATGTGTGTTTGTGGCTTTGCAACAGTGTCCTAATTAATTACTAAAACCTGTAATAACATAACCCATTTTACCTACTTGTATATACAAAATAAAATACACTATTTTATTCAGATATATATATTTCCATTCATTTAAACCTGGAGTGGTTTTCAAGAAATTCCTAACATGAAAATACTGTCTCCACTCGATTATCTGAACTATATGGGAAGGACCCCCAGCCAGATAATCACATTTTCCGGATTAGAGTACTTTTTCACCTCTGAGCCCAAAAGTGACCATTTCCAACAATTTTTATACCTCAATTATGATTTAAATTGAAACACTAATTAGTGTGTGTGGCTGGGTGGGTGGTTAGCTGCCTAGCTGGTAGGTGGGCAGGGGAAAGTGGGTGGGCAGGCAGGGATAGGTGCATTCAGGCAGGTAGGTGGGTGGGTTGGCAGGTCTGTGTAGGTAGGTGGGTGGGTTGGCAGGTCTGTGCAGGCAGGTGGGTGGGTTGGCAGGTGGGTGGGTTGGCAGGTCTGTGCAGGCAGGTGGGTGGGTTGGCAGGTGGGTGGGTTGGCAGGTCTGTGCAGGCAGGTGGGTGGGTTGGCAGTTGCGTGGGTTGGCAGGTGGGTGGGTTGGCAGTTGGGTGGGTTGGCAGGTGGGTGGGATGGCTATGCAGGCAGGTGGGTGGGTTGGCAGGTCTGTGCAGGTAGGTGGGTGGGTTGGCAGGTCTGTGCAGGCAGGTGGGTGGGTTGGCAGGTCTGTGCAGGCAGGTGGGTGGGTTGGCAGGTCTGTGAAGGCGGGTGGGTGGGTTCACAGGTCTGTGTAGGCAGGTGGGTGGGTTGGCAGGTCTGTGCAGGCAGGTGGGTGGTTAGCTATGCAGGCAGGTGGGTGGGTTGGCAGGTCTGTGTAGGCAGGTGGGTGGGTTGGCAAGTCTGTGCAGGCAGGTGGGTGGGTTGGCAGGTGGGTGGGTTGGCAGGTCTGTGCAGGCAGGTGGGTGGGTTGGCAGGTCTGTGCAGGCAGGTGGGTGAACAGGAGGGCGGGTTGGCTATGCAGGCAGGTGGGTGGGTTGGCTATGCAGACAGGTGGGTAGGTGGGCATGCAGGTGGGTTGGTGGGCAATCAGGCAGATGGGTGAACAGGTTTGTGGGTTGGTAAGTGGGCAGGCAGGTGGGCAGGTAGTTGGTTAGGTGGGCGTGCAGGTAGGTGGGCGTGCAGGTAGGTGGGCGTGCAGGTAGGTGGGCGTGCAGGTAGGTGGGCGTGCAGGTAGGTGGGCGTGCAGGTAGGTGGGCGTGCAGGTAGGTGGGCGTGCAGGCAGGTGGGTGGGTGGGTGGGTTATCTTGAGGTTATCTTGACTTGATTTCGGGGCTTTAGTGTCCCCGCGGCCCGGTCCTCGACCAGGCCTCCACCCCCAGGAAGCAGCCCGTGACAGCTGAACTAACTCCCAGGTATCTATTTACTGCTAGGTAACAGGGGCATAGGGTGAAAGAAACTCTGCCCATCGTTTCTCGCCGGCGCCCGGGATCGAACCCGGAACCACAGGATCACGTGTCCAGCATGCTGTCCGCTCGGCCGGCCGGCCCCCCGGGTGGGCGACACTGGAAAGAGAGATCACACGTCTGTGATCTCCTTCCTGGTCACCCTCTTTCCCCATCTCATGGCAGCCTCCCTAACTCCCCTTCACGTGTACTCACCTAATTGTACTCGCCTAATTGTGCTTGCGGGGGTTGAGCTCTGGCTCTTTGGGCCCACCTCTCAACTGTCAATCAACTGGTGTATAGATTCCTGAGCCTACTGGGCTCTATCATATCTACATTTGAAACTGTGTATGAAGTCAGCCTCCACCACATCACTGCCTAATGCATTCCATCTGTTAACTACTCTGACACTGAAAAAGTTCCTTCTAACGTCCCTGTGACTCAATTTGGTACTCGGTTTCCACCTGTATCCCCCTTGTTCGCGTGCCATCCATGTTAAACAGTTTATCTTTATCTACCCTGTCAATTCCTGAGAATTTTGTAGGTAGTGATCATGTCTCCCCTTACTCTTCTGTCTTCTAGTGTCGTGAGGTGCATTTCTTGCAGCCTTTCTTCGTAACTCATGCCTCTTAGTTCTGGGATTAGCCCGTACCTTGTCAAGCAAAGTACGGGCTCCATGCTGGGGCCGCATACTCCAGGATTGGTCTTACATATGTGGTAAGTTCTGAATGATTCCTTACACATGTTCCTGAAGGCAGTTCTGATGTTAGCCAGCCTCGCATATGCCGCAGATGTTATTCTTCTAATTTGGACTTCAGGAGACAGTGTTGGTGTGATATCAACTCCTAGATCTTTCTCTCTGTCTGTTTCGTGAAGGACTTCATCTCCCATTCTGTATCCTGTGTCTGGCTTCCTGTTTTCACTGCCTAGTTTTGTTACCTTACATTTACTCAGGTTGAACTTTAGTAGCCATTTGTTGGACCATTCATGCAATCTAGGTCATCTTGTAGTCTTATACTGTCTTCCTCCATCTTAATCCTCCTCATAATTTTTGCATCATCAGCAAACAATGAGAGGAATGATTCTATACCATCTGAAAAATCATTTAAAATATAAGAAACAGTATGGGTACAAGGACTGAACCCTGCGAGACCCCACTAGTGACATCTCGCCAATCTGAGACCTCACAGTCTTGTGGACCAAACTCTCACAAGTCAAGCCTGGCCTCGGGCTGGGCTTGGGGAGTAGAAGAACTCCCAGTACCCCATCAACCAGGTATCAACCAGGTATCACCCCGCACAGTGACTCACTGCTTTCTGTTACTTAGGTACTCCCCTTATCCAATGGAGTACCTTCCCTTTCACTCCTGCCTGCATCTCCAGCTTTTGCACTAGTCTCTGGTGTGGCACTGTGTCAAAGGCTTTCTGGCAATCCAAAAATATGCAGTCTGCCCACCCCTCTCTTTCTTGTCTGATTCTTGTTGCCTGATGGTAGAATTCAATTAATCCTGTGAGGCATGACTTGCCATCCCTGAAACCATGTTGGTGTTGTGACACAAAGTTCCTTCGCTCCAGATGTTTGACTAGCTTTTTTCGCACAATTTTCTCCATTAGCTTGCATGGTATGCAAGTTAGGGACACTGGCCTGTAGTTCAGTGCCTCCTGTCTATCCCCCTTCTTGTATATCGGGACTACGCTTGCCGCCTTCCAAATTTCTGGCAGTTCACCTGTTACCAGTGATTTGTTATACACCATGGAGTAGCAGGCACAGTACTTCTGCTCCTTCCTTTAGTATCCATGGTGATATTTCATCCGGGCCTATAGCCTCTGTCACATCCAACTCTAGCAAAAGCTTCCGTACATCTCCACTGGTAATCTCAAATTCCTCTAGTGGTGCCTGGTTAATTATTCCTTCTCTTATCTCTGGAACTTCTCCTTACTCTAATGTGAAGACTTCCTGGAATTTCATATTGAGTTCCTCGCACACTTCTTTGTCATTTGTAATGAATCTGTCTGCCCCTATCCTCAGTTTCATTACCTGTTCCTTCACTTTTGTCTTTCTCCTGATGTGGCTGTGCAGCAATTTGGGTTGGGTCTTAGCTTTGCTTGCTATGTCGTTTTCATATTGCCCTTCTGCCACTTTTCTCACCCTGACGTATTCATTCCCGACTCTCTGGTAACCTTCTCCACTCTCAAGTGTCCTGTTATTTCTATAGTTTCTCCATGCTCTTTTACTTTGTTGCTTAGCTAGCTTACATCTCTGATTAAACCATGGGTTTCTCATCTGCATTTCATTTTTTACCTTTTGGGCCAGGATAAGCTTTTCTGCTGCCTCCCTGCACTTCTGCGTGATGTATTCCATCATGTCTTGGGCCGTCTTTCCCTTAGCTTTGATTCCCATGTTATATCCGTTAGGAATTTTCTTATCTCCTCATAGTTTCCCTTCCGGAATGTTAGCCTTTTGTTTTCAGTTAACACTTTCGCGCTCTCGGCGCTCAAAAAAAAACAATACCCCAGATGCTTTCGGCACTTCGCGCGCCTACGCGGTAAGACTGAAAAAGTGTACACTCTTTTGACTGTCCTGACAATAATTGAAGGCGCACGTATTTAAATTTGGTATCACTGTGTTCGCAATGAAATTGTCTATAAGAGCATACCTATAAAATGCTGCCCAAGCATAAGGAGTATCAACACCAAATAAAAAACTATGCAGATCACTCGCCGAGAGCGCCAAACAGCAACAAAATGTTTCCACTCTCTTAATGGTTGCGAAGCCTACAGTTGTCCTACATCGCTAATTTTGGTATCATTGGAATCGCAATAAAATTCTCTACACGGACATATGCATATGAATGTTTAATATAGGTAATTGCCCACCCGCAAGAGTGTGTGAAGTGGAGAGTAGTTAGCCGCGAGCGCACTGGCGAAAACACAGGGGGGAAATCATGCTTGGAAAGTTTATACGTTTCCTGACCCTACTTTTCTATGTACGTATTTCTTTTTTATACCAATGAAAATCGCAATAAAATTTTCTATAAGATGAACTGTATAACATTGGTACAAAGCATGTGTAAGAGAAGCGCCAAATATAGAACCACGTCGCTCAGTATGCGTTCGCGGCAGAAACGAACGCATTGTTTTCGTTCGTTTGATGTTTGTCATGTTTATACTTGTTGAAACATTTTATAATTTGTATGACAGTGATCGCAGTAAAATTCCCTACACAGACATATACATAACACATACAAATATTTCCCACGTGTTGGATATATCAACGGCTAAAGGGAACCCACTGCCACAACCCCAAACATACTTTGTGTATTTTTTCTTTTACTCATAGAAGTTTATGTGATATAATATTCATTCTGGTACCAAAAAATTCGCAAATAAATTCTCTACAAAACAAAAGTATCCCCATCCATTTCGGTTAAAAAATGGAATTTATAGAAATATTTTTTCGATTGACGAGAAAACTAGGCAGTTATGCGGAATCGTAA